GGTTCAGCAATTTCTACTTGTTTCAATAGTTTTACAAAGTGTCAGGCTGCTTTATTCTATGTTGTGGAGGATTTGACACTAGCTTAGCTTGATTGTATCTCATATCAGATATGAACCAGCCACAAAAACCCAGAATTGCAAGGAAAATAAATCTTCATCGATGAATATTTCCAGGAAAAGTCGTAGAAATATGATTCTACAAAGAAAACCCAGATAGTTCTTGGAACTGCTATGCCTCTCCACTTGGTTTCCTATGATAATGCGGCAAACAAACAACCCTCTTGTAATCAGCTCCAATCTTCTAACTAACACCTTACAAACTTTCTTACTGCCAGAACAAACTTTTCTTCTTCCTTGTATTAGAATTTTCTACTATGAATCTATCAACGATCTTCATCAATTTTTGTATTCTCTCAGAATTTGCTTCTTCTTCGTCCACCTTATCCCACCACCGCTGTGTCGAACTTTTTTTTTTTTTTTTTTACTTTAGTTCCGATGTTACATGACTCCTGTTCCTCTGTTTTGTTGCTAGGTATGCAGCCGATGCATATGCAATTTTTTGTACAGGAAAGTGGGACCGCGTGAAACCTGCTGATCACATGCTAAATTATTACTGGAAATTTCTCCATAGCATTAGAGACACATTGTGAGAAGACAGTATTTTTTTTTGCGTATGCTATCATGTTAGAATCTAGGTCACGGAAATGCTTCATAAGAAAAGTGAAAAAGAAAGAAAGAAATGTTGCAATAGATGTATTATGTATGTTTTGTATGTAGGGAACACAACATTTTTTTTTTTTTTTTTTAACAAATGAGTCGAGGTATTTAAAAAGTAGGCATAAATAGATCCTTCTAATTATGATATTTGTCTCTTTGCCGAGTATTGCTTAGGGATATGCTTCATGCGCTTTTCGAATTTAGGTGGTGTCATGTGCTTAGATCTTTTCTTCCTTTTTCTCGAGTCTCGTTGAAAATCGCTTTCGGTTTCCAAGTTCTACTTCATAATCCTCTGAAAATGGACAACATTGAGGTCACTAATTGTTCATATGCATAAGAGCAAATTGTTTGGAGTTAAAAGGTTTGTTCTCCAAAGGTCAAAACTGATATGTTCTTGGCAGATTTGAGTGTCCAGAACTTAGCTTAGTGAGTATTCAGTTTTTGTGTTTGGTTCTTTCCTTTTCTACCTTCTGTTTTGTGTGCCCACTGTGATTATATAGTTGCTTTATCTAAAGCGCTTTTTTTTTGCTTTTTTTTTTTTTTGGTTCAAACCAGAAGAAGAATCCAAGACCAGAGATCAATAAATTTATATGATAAGGCTCAAGTGAAAGAAGCGTGTTTTGAGTTCCGGATACCCAAACACATTAAATATTTGTATACATGGCTGTTTGAGCAATCCTTTAACATCAATGGAAATATCCAATTGACCGAATTCAAAAAATCCATAACAAGAGGCCACACGCAACATTGTAACGACACTAATTGCCATATTGAAACTGTAGCCTAGTAATAAAAAAACGAAACAAGGACGCCAATAAGTCAAGTAAAAGCAACCACTATTACATACAAAAACACACACAAAAAGAGTAAACAAAAAAAGGTCCGTTGTCAGCCTATGGGTTATGCGATGATCGAAAATAGAATTAAAACCCCGGATACCACGACCGATGATGCAATGGACATGTCATTATCTTGAATAAGTTTTGAAAACAAACGTTAATTTTACAGTAAATTGAACACTAGCACTCCCAAACTATTCCTTTTTTTTTTTTTTTACATAATTGACTCTGAACTTTTAATTTTGATAAACTACACTGCGATATTTAAATTCAACTGCAATTGACATCTAATAATTTTAGAGTAAATTGCACACTTGTATACTTGCATCATGATGTTTGCATATGATTTCGGAGGAATTGTTTTTACATCAATTTCAAAACTTAAGGTAGTTTTCAATTTTCAGTTGACATATTATACATATACTAAAGGAAGGGAGGGTTTGATTGTTCATGCTACAGTACTATGAACAGTGTGTTTCCTGTTTTATCCTTTTATTTGTGTACTAACTATTTTGTCATTTGCTGCTTTTTCATTTTATTGTTTAATTTATGTGGCTTTGGTAATTTCATTCAGATTGAGTGTTCTAGGACTTTCTTATCTTTCTTCTGTCTCTGTAGGAAGCAGCTACTATGCTTCTGAAGCAAGAAAAATTTTTCCCACCGTCTCTTTTCTGTGTCTTCATGTTTTTGGCTACCTTCTTTCCTCTTTCTTTCTTCGATGCATTTGTTCATTCTTCCTATTTTTTATTGCCTATCTATATTTTTTTTTTTACTTTGGTTGGCTTTCTCATTTGCTTTCGGAGAGATTTTTTTTCTTTTTATGTTTCGTCTATGGATTTGGTCGTTTACTTTAGATCGATGTCTTTACATTGTCTTTCCTTACGCCGTTTGTTCTCTTCGTCTTTAGCTTTCTTAGTTTTTTGAGTTTGGATTTTCTGTTCATCCTTGCACTCATATGGTTTTTGGAGTTCTTAATTTTTTCTTCTCCATTTGTTTAGGCATTTTTTTTTTTCTGTTTCGTCCATGAATTTGGTCGTTTACTTCATATCGATATCTTTACTTTCTCTTTTCTCGCACCGTTTGTTCTCTTCGTCTTCAACTTTCTTGGTTTTTTTGGGCTTGGTTTTTCCGTTCATCCTTGCACTCATATGGTTTTTGGATTTTTTTTATTTTTTCTTCTCCATTTGCGTAGGCAAAATTTTTTTTTTCTTCCCGTTTTTTCTCTTCTGATTTTTGTAGGTGTTTTGGGTTTTGTTGTTTTCTTTATGGTTTTTCACTTATTTGTTTTTTTTTTTTTTTGTCGATGTATTTGAGAAAATTTGTTTTCTTTGTTGTTTTCTTCATAATATTTATATTTCTCTAAATTTTTCTGGGGTTTTTTTCTATGCTTCTTTTCCCTGTTGTTTATTTGTTATTTTTCATTGTTATTTATTTCTTAATTTTTTGTGCTTTTTTCTATTTCTTTTTTTCATGTTTTTTATTTCTTAGTTTTCCCCTTTTTTCCTTCTACTTTTTTCCTGTTTTTCTTTTTTTCGTCCCTATTTTTGTTTACTGTTTGTTGATTTCTTCAATTTTTTTTATTAACATTTCTATGTTTGGGCGATTCTATACAATTGTCAGCGTCTTATTGTGTTGATGTTTGTGTTAATCTTTTAGTCTAACACGTGCATTTCTTATCTTTCAATTTTGTATAATGAATATCTAAGATTTAACTGTCTATTATTTATTGGTTATGTTTTGTGGTCGTCTTCATGCTTTGTGATGGCCGTCGTTGATTAATCATTACTTCAATTGATTTCGCTTTGCAGGAATTTGTATCGGAGATTGAACGAAACATTGGTAACTTTTTGTATATATAATGCATGTTATTCTATTGCTATAATTTCTTACTTTCCCTTTGTCTTCATTCTTCAGATTTTACTATCTATTATGTTCTGTTTTCTGTCATTCTCACTGTTTAAATATCATATTCATACTAGCCTTTTATTACTAATCTTACTGCGTCTTCAATATTCCCTTTGTATATTTCTGCTGCTCAGTAATTTTGGTTGCTTTGTTCGATCTATCCTTTTGTCTGTGGTTCATGGATTGAGGTATTCAATTTTTTTCTCTAATTTTTTTTTGAATTGTTTTAGAATATTGCTTTATGATGTTATTTCGTTTGTTATATGAATCCTTTCATGTGTTGATTTATCTGTTCATTTCAATACGTTTTTTATGAATATGAATTTCTTTTGCGTTATTTGATACAACACTGTGTTTCACTTTTCTTAGATATTTTTTCTATTACTTATAAGTTATATATTTTTGTTTTTTTCCTCATTTATTATGTTAATTTGGGCATTACTTCAGTTATCCGTTTATTTCAGTATGTATTGATGCCTATGCTAAAATTTATTTATTATCTCTTTCTTCTCTTAATGTTTACTATTAAAATTGTGTATAATATTGTTATGTCTGCAGAGGTTAGGTTCCCATTTTACTTTTTGTCTTCCTTTGTCAAAAGTTTAATTTTTTCATTTTCAAAAGTTTTATTTTCCTCTGGTGATGATGTTATATTTCTTTTGTTGTTAACATGTGCTGAGTAATTGTTATTATAGATTTTGCTATCATTGATGTTGCCCTTATTATTTTGGACTTATGCAATATATTTTAATTCGTTCTTCATTTTACTTGTACTGTTACTTTGTATGTCGTGATTTTTCTTATTTTCTTCCCTTTTTTTTTTCATGCCTTCTGTTTAAAAATTTGTATAAGCTTGATTCTTATTCATTTTGATTTTTATCTACTCTCATTTTATCGTACTCTATTTAGTTTTTTACTTTATTTTTTCTTAAATATATTCTTTTTGTTGTTTCAATGTATATTGATGTTCTAAACTATACTAATTTTTCTTACTTATGGCATAAACTCCTTAATAATATAGCTGGCAGCCATATATATTACAAGATCCTCTTTTTATTTCCTCTTCATTTCATTTTCTTACTTTTCTTGGTTGGTAATTTTTTTTTCTTTTCTAATTTTCTCTGCTTTGATTTTTTGCCTTCTACTACCCTCTACGTCTTTCTTTTTTTTTTTCTTCTCTTTTGGAGAAAAGTTCCTTGCTCCTGTCATTTCTTCTCTTCGGCTTTATCTTTTTGGGTGTTTTGGGTTTTGTTTTTTTTTTCTTCTTCTTTGCACTGATATGGTTTTTCGTTTCTTCATTTTTTTTTCTCCTCGATCTGTTTCGACAAATTTTTTTATTTTTCTACCATTTGTTGTCTTATGATCTTTTTCAGTGTTTGGGGTTTTGTTGTTTTCATCTTTTCTGTACTAATATGGTTTTTTGGTTTTTTTTCCTATATGGTTTTTCGTTTCTTCATTGTTTTTATTCTCGATCTGTTTCGACATAAATTCTTTTCCTTTTCTACCGTTTGTTCTCTTATGATCATTATGGGTGTTTTGGGTTTTGTTGATGTCGTCATTTCTGCACTAATATGGTTTATAATTTTTTTTTCCAATCTATTTCAATTTTTTTTTTCCTTTTACTACTTCATCTTTTCGTCTTGATGTTTTATGTTTTTTTGGGTTATATTGTTCTGTTTTGAAAACAATTTTTTTATTTACCTGCTTTTCTTTTGCATGTTTTTCTTGCAAAGGCATTTGCAATATTTTTCTTCGCATGTTTTTTTCGATCTATTTCAGAATTTTAGCAATGTCTATTTTTCTTTATTTTTGTTTTCATTTTTTGTCTTTTCTCATTGTGGGCAGTTAGCTTAATTAGTTGTTCTTCCTTTTGATTTTTGCAGGACTCTTACTATCACGGTGTTAATTTTGTTGTTTGACACGTGTTTTTGGTCATTATGCAATTTTGTGTAACGGAGAATTGATATGTGATTGTCCATTGCCTATTGGTTCCGTTTTGCGGTGGTTTTGCTTCTTCAGGACATCTGCCATTCAGTAATCATGTTTTTGATATTTTTTTTT